CTGGCAAGGCCAGAGTCAAGGTTGCGGCCTGGTGGAAAAGAGGCTTCAGAGGAGCCTAACTAGTTTGGTCAAGGAGAGAGACAGCCTAGAACAGTGCAATTCAAGACCCCACCAGAACTGTCCACACAAATGGAGAATGTCTTAAATCAGTAAAGGGAAAGTCTCCGAAGCAGAGCAAATCCTTTTTCACCAGCTGGCAACACACATCGGGGCCCTTTAGTGCTCAGGGAAGATCTGTCTTTGAACATTGTTCTTCACCATAGATATTTAGGTCTATCTGGATTGTATCTGTTCTATGCGCTTGTTCAACCCCAGGTCCCCCTTTCCCTGCCCTACTCCTGTGAAAGCCAGGAACTGTGTTCAGAGTACAGGGGTCAAAGTTACTTCCACTGTTGTGGTCCATCAATGACCGCCTCTTCCAGGAATGAGCTGGAGGGAGAAGGGGCTTGGGTAAATCTAGCTTTCCACAGAGAAATGTTGATGGATGGTGATGTGAGCCACTGGAATAGAGCAGAGAGCACAAACCTCAGCAGGACACAGGACTCGAGCTCCATATTCTCCATGTTCTCCACAGAAAGCCAGCTCATGGGCACTCCATTTTGTGTATTTCTGTTCATCTCCTTCTCTAATTTCTCTTCAGAAATTTAGTTTAGTTTAGTTTTTATTTATTCAAGTCATCTAAACACCCAACGTGGGACTTGAACTCGAGATCCTGAGATCAAGAGTCGCATGCTCTGCTGACTGAGCCAGCCGGGTGCTGCTGTCTTCAGAAATTTTATTTTATTTTATTTTACTTTATTTTATTTTTAAGATTTTATTTATTTGACAGAGAGAGACACAGCGAGAGAGGGAACACAAGCAGGGGGAGTGGGAGAGGGAGAAGCAGGCTCCCCGCGGAGCAGGGAGCCCGATGCGGGGCTTGATCCCCGGACCCTGGGACCATGACCTGAGCCGAAGGCAGATGCTTAACAACTGAGCCACCCGGGAGCCCCCATGTCTTCAGAAATTTTAAAAGGAAAAAATCTGCTTCTCTATTTCAATGGCTGACTTTAAAGTCTCCTTTGACAATCTCCTCACAGTCACTGGGCCATCCTGCCTCAGTGGGCCATCTGTGTAGTTCCTGATGCCCCCCATCCCCCACCCACCACGGGAGGTAATGTTTGCGGAGTCCACTCCTATCTCTGGAGGGAAACCCTCTGCTAGGTTACTAGAAAAGAGTAAAGAAAAATGAATACCGACCGAAGTTCTAATATAAAATGAGAGAAGCCCTGAAGCAGACTCATAAATACCAAAGAAAAAGTACAACTGAGATTTACATTTATTAATATTAAAGAAACCACAGAATTATAAGGGGGTTAATTCATCCACATATTTCTTCAGCGAGGATTTGTTTAGTCATACCAAAATAGTTCATTTCTCTTCGTTACAAAAAAAATTATTTGCGCCTAAAAAAAATGTGCTCATGCTTTCCTCCTCCTCCCTCCGGCTCTCAAAATTCCATTCTTTTTAAAATCCCATCTTTTCTTCGTCATACTTGGAATTCCAGGCGATGTATCTGGCAGTTACACACAGATTACTTCCATATGGCTTCATGGAGGCTTAATCGAATATAAAAACAAGATCGATAAAATAACTTCCATACTCACGTACAACCTGATTCCAAAACCCATGAGCACAAAGTTGACAGGATTCAACAGCCATGTAAAGACCAAGAACAGGAATTTGTGTTAACAGGTAAAAGGCACATCAGAAACAGTGATCTCATTTCCTATTCCTCCCAAAAGATGAATGATAGGTAATAAAATGTCAACACTTAGAAAAAGTTTTGTAGCTTTTTAACTCATTCTTTAAGCTTTCTTTACGCGTCAATATTAACATCAGGGATTGAGAAGTGTAATTGCTATAGTAACATTCAAAACAATTTCACAGACAGTTTTATTTATTTCAAAAGTCCTCAATACCTAAAATCTATTTATCTTATTTCTGAATCGCCTCTAATGCTTTTCCTGCATTAACCCCGGAGCATGCATAACTTCAAAAAGTTAAAAATGGAGATTCATTCCCAGGGTGAAGATGGCCACAGGCTGGTTATCAAGGATGCGCTGAGGTGGTGGTGTTGCTGCTGTGGGAAAAATCCTAAAGAAAGCCTCCCGGACTCTGGAAACTGAATAAATGACAAGGACTTCTGATTATTTGGTTATTTCTCCTACAGGTCATAAATAGCTCAAACACTCACAAAACAGTCCCTCGATGAGGTTAAAATGCAGGAAACATAAACTATGTCCTGTGCCAAATTACCTCCATGGGAAAAGGCAGCCTGTTAAGACTGAGAGGCCCACCCAGGTCTGGGCAAGAGCCCAGAGCCGGGATCTCCCCCACGTGGCACAAGGGGGTGCACAGGGGAGGAGCGCTTTTGAAAGCCACTGGCCAGGATGCCATAATATATGCCTGTATCCTGCGAGTCAATAATTCCACTTTAGCAATCTAGTTTCAGAAAAACACTCAATTGTAAAATGGCCCTGGGGGCACCTGGGTGGCTCAGCTGGTTAAACGTCTAACTTCAGCTGGGGTTGTGATCTTGGGGTCCTGGGATCGAGCCCCGCAAAATGCTCCCCACTTGGCAGGGAGTCGGCTTGTTCCTTTCCCTCTGCCCCATCCCCTTCTTGTGCACTCTCTCTCTCTCAAATGAATAAATAAAATCTTTAAAAAAAATAATAAAATAATTCTGCACACAAAGATACACACTGTATTATTATTTGCAACAAAATTGGATATATTCCAAGTGTCAAATACTATAAAATGTTGTTTAGAACACGGTGTATATTTCTACATGTAATGTTGTGAAGCCATCAGAAATGACCTTTGCAAAGACTGGAGGTCTATGAAAGTATATGTGATACATACTTCTGCATATATTTACCATATGATACACAGATATATATCTGTATATATATCATATGATATACAACATATATCTGTATATAGTATATATGATTATATATATGTATATGTTATCTATATCATACAGATTATGGCTACATTAAGCAAACAAAAAACCAACCAGAATAAAATTTTTAAACAGTGACAATGGGTGATTGCTTTCCCCAACGTGGCCGGTATTTTCTAAATTCACCATGAGGAACATGTACTGCATCTACAATGGAACAGACGAACTTTTACATAATTAAATTTTAAATGAATAAGTAACCCCATGCAAATATTAACTGCTACCTTTGCACAGCTTTAACCAACCTGTCATATAAAGAATCCAGAACACAGAAACCAGACCAGGCTCACCAAGTAGATGAGTAATATTACCGTGATTTTTAAAGCCCAGCAGCAACGCCCACCAGAGAGGAACTTTCTCCATGCTTCTAGGGCACGGGCAGCAGGACAAGCGCCCTGGGTTTGTGTGGGGGCCTGCTCAGGGCCCAGTGGCCAACAGCATCTCGGCCAGGTGCACGATCTGGGCACTCCCACGTCCCTCACCATGCCCACAGTTTGCACCTTGCTTAAGATACATGTTGTCACCCCTGACTGGCCTTTCACGTCCCCTCCCAGCTCCAGGCCATCCCACCACACACGTGTTAAAAGAGCAAAATTTAACTGAGTAAATTGAAAGATCTAATTGACTTTATTAAATGATTCATGAATCACCCAGCATCCCATCTAGCAAGGAGAGGGGAGCTCCACTAAGCTAAACAAAAGGTTTTAAAGGCAGAGAAAAGACATAAAAAGAAGAACGGACTTGATTGGCAAGGAATGCACTGTTCAGGCAAGGTTGCCCTCCTCTGGAGAATGGTCTACCAGTCAATTTCCTAGTTTTGACCAAGAAGTTCCATGTAGCCTGGTTAAAGCTTACATCCCTGGGGAATTGAAACTGCAGTTAGGTTAGGTTTTAAGTCTTGGTTTACTCACTCGAAGCCTTAACTTAGGCCATTTTAGGGCTGTGGTTTTCTGGTTAACATTACCCCCTTTTGATCAGACTCTCAGCTGAACTGAGAGTTGTGCTCAAAATTTAAGCCATCAGCGTCACGCTCAGCTTGGCTCTGTGGTGCTTGAAGCCTCTGTTGATCCTCTGTGTGGCATTCACCATTCATGGTGTTTTTGCTTTATCTCTGTGAAATTCACGGGTTACGACAAGGTCTGCGTTCCTTAAGTCCGTTGTTCTCTGTTCCTTTTCTGCCATTGTAGGCTCAAGGAGATCATGTGCTTGGTGGTTAGTGGTTGTGATCAGACATTCAAAGTTTTTGAAAGGATACAGGGGCACCTGGGTGGCTCAGTCAGTTAAGCGTCTGCCTTTGGCTCAGTCATGATGCCCGGGGTCCCAGGGACGGAGCCCCGCATCAGGCTCCCTGCTCAGTGGGGAGCCTGCTTCTCCCTCTCCCTCTGCTCCTCCCCACACTCGTGCACGCACTCTCTCTCTCTCAAATAAAAATCTAAAAAAGAAGAAAAAGAAAAAGTTTTTGAGAGGATACAATGTACCAGGAAGATTATTATAATCACATAAGCAGGATAATCCCCAATATTTAGAGTTCACTTTGAAGCCTTGGTGCCCAAGACCCAAACCAATCAAAATCAGATCACAGACCCCACTGAAGGGGTCATCCTTTAAGCCAAGTGGCTTGCTCAGTGACCTCAGGTAAATGAGTTTTAGTTTCCCCAGAAGTGTCAATCCAGGTACAGCAAGTGGTGTTGGCCACAGCACAGATACCTCCTTGCTCAGTTCAAAGATAATCAAGAGCTGTCCTATTGTTATCAAAACTACTTTGGCAGAGAGTCTAAGGATCTTCGTTGGGCAGCATTGCTTTAGCAGCAGATTCTGTAATAATTTTAAGAATTAAGAAATCAGCCCCATTTTTTTTGAGAGAGAGAGAAAGTGTGCTCACATGAGTGTGCGAACCGGGGTGGGGGGGTGCAGAGGAAGAGGGAGAGAATCTTAAGCAAGCTCCACCCTCAACGAGGAGCTGGATGCAGGGCTCAATCTTACAACCCTGAGATCATGACCTGAGCTGAAATCAAGAGTCAGATGCTTAACTGACTGAGCCACCCAGGCACCCCGAAAATTAGCCTCATTTACATTTCATCCTAACTAGGGAAACAGGGGCCTGTCAAAAGGAGTGAATCCTGAACTATGAAACCCCACTGGTAGGTCCCTTTTAACTCAACAGTGTAAATGTAGCCTTAGCAATGGCCTGTGAGACAGAACGAGTGTGTTATCTTTCCAAGCTAAGGCCAGACTAAAGGAAAGGAAAAGAAGGGTTTTATGTTCAAATATGAAGTCTTGATCTTGGTCTTGGATGGACGCAGTCTACTGCAATGTCAGCGATTTCTCTTCCTCCTCAATTTAATTTCTAGGTCTTCAGGGTCTGTATAGGACCAGGTGTCACATAGAGCCTTCTTCTGCTTTGTGATGTGTACCCAGGACTTAACACCTTCTAGATTTGCAGCAGTGTCAGCGGTCAGGTGCACCAGGAAAGGTCTCTTTTTAATGGAGCTAGAAGGGCTGTCTTTCACTGATGACGCTTCCAGAATACCTAGTCACCAGGCTCTAAAGTACGACTGACAGGATCCTTTGAACAGGGATCTGGGAAGCTTCTTCAACCTCATGACGATCCGAAGGTTGCTTCACTCTATGCTGCTAGAATTCTAAAAATGTTGCAAGGTTATTGTTAAGGCTCCTATAATCTGTCTAGTGACATGGCGCTTCGATCCCTGGGAATCATGGGAAGTAGACCCCAAGTGGGAAACACACTTTTTAACAGTTTCTTTGCTACTATGGGGACCTCAGCTTTGCAGTAGGGAAAGGCTTCAGCCCGTCCAGAAAATATGCAAACAAGAACAAGAACATATTGATAACCCCTACTAACTGGCCGTTGAATGAAGTCCAGGTGCAGGCGTTCGAAGGGTCTAGAGAGAGGGAGGTCTGAGGCCTCTGGGAATAAAAAGTTTTATTTTGTTTCATTTTGTTTCAGGATTATGGACCTAACAGGTCAGGCATCCCTGGTAGATTGTTCTGCAATTTTATAAATGTCTCTCCACTGATGTCTGTTCGTAACTTGAGTTTGTGAGATATCTTAAATGTACTGTGGTGGGTGAAAGAACGCAAAACCTGAAAAATGGGGTTTGCCAGGGAGCCAGGGAGAACCAAGTAGCCTTCTTGGGGTTCCTATAACCCCGACTGTTCATTTACAGGCGTTGTTTGCCCACCTGCATTTTTGTAAGTCAGGAGCAGACTGTGGTCACGTTGTAAGGACATCCGTATGGCAAAAGCCTGGCAACGGGCAGCCTTCCTTTTTTGTTTCCTCAGAAGAACAATGGACTTAATCCACTTGCCACAATTTTACAATGCAACATGAAGAAGGTTTAGTATTACCTCTTTTTTTCTTTTTTTTTAAAGATTTTATTTATTTATTTGACAGAGAGAGACACAGTGGGAGAGGGAACACAAGCAGGGGGAGTGGGAGAGGGAGAAGCAGGCCTCCCGCTGAGCAGGGAGCCTGACACGGGGCTCCATCCCAGGCCCCTGGGATCATGACCTGAGCCGAAGGCAGATGGTTAACGACTGAGCCAACCAGGCGCCCCTTAGTATTACCTCTTATTTGACAATGCTTCTCATGTAATTTGATATATCAAATAAGCCTAACGAGTTGAGCAAATCTTTTGGAATGTTCCAGGTCAAAAAGACTTTTAAGCAGACCAAAAGCCCAAATTCTAATTTTGCACCAGCTTACTTTTGATATTAAAACTTATTTCTAGGGGCACCTGGGTGGCTCGGTCAGTTGAGTGTCTGCCTTTGGCTCAGATCATGATCCCGGGGTCTGGGAATCAAGCCCTGCATAGGGCTCCCTGCTCAGAGGGGAGTCTGCTTCTCCCTCCCTTCCCTGCTTGTGCTCTCTCTCTCTAGCTCTTACTCTCAAATAAATAAAGTCTTTAAAAAAAAACCTTATTTTAAAATCTATTCATCTTAATCTTAGCCAGCTTGACTACATATTAAAATTCCTTTTCAAGGATTCCTTTTCTACAAACCTTCTACGACTTTATTTTTTTTTAAGATTTTATTTATTACTTGAGAGAGAGAGCAAGCAAAAGAGAGAGCACAAGCAGGGAGGAAGTGCAGATGGAGAGAGAGAATCAAACTCCCCACTGAGCAGGGAGCCCGATGTGGGGCTCAATCCCAGAACCCCACGATCATGATCTGAGCAGAATGCAGGCGCTTAACCCACTGAGCCACCAGGGCACCCTAAACCAACAAACTTAAATTAGCTTTAATACCAAACATTTTCTCAGATCTCATGAAGCTGGAAAACATTTCGGTTAGTTTCTATCTTTTTCAGAGTTCTAGAATGTCCAAGCTTTACAAATGCTTGTCTTCCAACCAACTAAATAGAGCTCTTTAGCTGTGAATTGTGTAAGACTGCTGAATCACAGATCTGTACCTCTGAAACAAATAATACATTATATGTTAAAAAAAAAAAAGAAGAAGAAGAAGATAGCAGGAGGGGAAGAATGAAGGGGAGTAAGTCGGAGGGGGAGACGAACCATGAGAGACGATGGACTCTGAGAAACAAACTGAGGGTTCTAGAGGGGAGGGGGGTGGGGGGATGGGTTAGCCTGGTGATGGGTATTAAAGAGGGCACATTCTGCGTGGAGCACTGGGTGTTATGCGCAAATGATGAATCATGGAACCCTACATCCAAAACTAATGATGTAATGTATGGTGATTAACATAACATCATCATCATAATAAATTAAATAAAATAGAGCTCTTTCACAAATTACTTTTAGCAATACCATCCAGAGGTAAAAAAATGCCTCACATTTATAACAAACACATAAACACACAGATATAAAAACCTTACAATATTACTGAGTAATATTCTTTTTTTTTTTTTAAAGATTTTATTTATTTATTTGGCAGAGAGATACAGAGAGAGAACAAGTAGGCAGAGGGAGAAGCAGGATCCCCGCTGAGCAGGGAGCCCGACATGGGGCTCGATCCCAGGACCCTGGGATCATGACCCGAGCCGAAGGCAGCCGCTCAACCGACTGAGCCACCCAGGCGCCCCTTACTGAGTAATATTCTGTCTCTGGAATTAAGGAGGCTTGCTGGAGTTCAGGCACAAGTGCCCTTACAAGTAGTTCGTATTTTCAAAAAGGACTCTTCCTTTTTCTTCTTCTCCCTTAGTCTCAGATATCTGATTGTGAGCTGTATTTAAATTTCAAAGACATGATAAGATGTATAACTAAGGGACACAGAAGGAATGGAAGTTCTTCCAAGAAGGACTTTTATTTCCCTAAGGCAAATAATTTTCCAAGCCTTTTGAGACAGATAAGGGAAGTTTGGGGATTGGAAAAGGAGCGGGATGAATTTTTTTTTTTTAAAGATTTTACTTATTTATTTGAGAGAGAGAATGAGATAGAGAGCACGAGAGGGAGGAGGGTCAGAGGGAGAAGCAGACTCCCCGCTGAGCAGGGAGCCCGATGCGGGACTCGATCCCGGGACTCCAGGATCATGACCTGAGCCGAAGGCAGTGGCTCAACCAACTGAGCCACCCAGGCTCCCGGGATGAATTTTTAATTGCCTCTAGAGCTGACTTTTATTTTGCAAAAGATCTGTCAGATAAGGACAGTTGTTCTTAATTCTTTAAGGAATTTGGATTGTAACTTATATGACATTATGGGTTGATCCACCCATCCAACTACATTAGCCTCAATTTGCTTCTTTCCCTCCTCGTATATAATTCAAATTTTAAATATTTTTTTAAGATTTTATTTATTTTATTTTAGAGAGAGAAAGCATGAGGGGGCTGGGGGGTGTGTGGAGAAGCAGAGGGAGAGAGAATCTCAAGCCGACTCTGCGCTCACCGCAGAGCCCTTTCCCAGGACCCTGAGATCATGACCTGAGCCAAAATCAACAGTCGGACGCTCAACCAACTGAGCCACCCAGACGCCCCAGATTTTAAAGGTTTTTGACAGTACTGAATAACCTCCACTTGGGCATGACAGGTCCTCAAAGAGGGTGCAGAGGCTATTAAGTTCCCCAAAGCTGGAGTCACTCCCAAAGACAGACAAAAGAAAGAACCAACAACCTGCAAGTCCCAAACAGGCAGAAAGCCAAGCCCAGTTACGCAAAACGAGACAAGCAGAGAGGTAATAGCTCCTCTGGGAGAGAAAAGATCCATAAACAATGCGTTTGGATTTGGAAAGGAAGGGACAACGTGAACTTTTAGTTTTCTCTCTCAACTGGGCACTATAGCCAGAGATTAACAAGAGCTTATTCTCGTAAGAACTGTTTACCCTTTGCTGGCTTCCGCGTAGTTTTCCTAGGAGCCCCTCTACAATGACAACAATAAAAATCATGGCTAATATTTATTGAGCATTTTCTGTGTTCCTTGTAGAGGTTGTTCTTTGGCAGCAGGCTTGAGCTATGGAAGCTTGAGGGCCCCGGTGACAAGAAAACTGAATGCAGACAGGCTCATTAACCCACAGGCCCTACCTAACCAATGGGCTACTTACAACCAGGCACAGTTGCTAATATTACCAAAAATGGTAAAATTCCCAATGTCTCCATACCTCCTCACCCTGCCCTAAAACTACTATAGTCCCTCACCACCGCCTCCTAGCTGACTGTCTCTCTTTTCTGTCCTGCCTTACAGCTCCCCTGTGGTGTATTCAATAAACTCCCTCCTTTGCTCCGCCCTGGGTGAATTCTTTCACTGCCCATGGTTCCCACCCCCACCCAATAGGGACACCTCACATTTCTGTTGCAATGCTGCAACTTTATATAAATTAATCCTCAAAATAACTGTGATGATTGTTTGGTTGAGTACCCCCGTATTCCAACACTTTGCAGATAAGGGTAGTAAGGCTCAGAGGTTAAATAATTCAACCAAGTTAGGAAAAGGAGCTGCTAGGATCATGAACCCAAGTCTATCCGATGCTGGATCTAGACAGTCTGGACCAGTATCCCATGTTGTCCTCAAGGCTGGTCAAGCGGGAAGGTGAGAAGGTCAGCCCAGGATCAGAAAGAACAATGGTCAAGAGTTACAGACATGAGGTAACTTTCAGAACTGGGGTTATAGATTTTATGAAAAGAGTTGTTTAATAAACCTCACTTCGAAGTCTTCCAAATGATTTTATTTCTATAATTTGGGGGTTGGGCATTATGCTCCAGGTGTCAGGGTTGTCTCTGGGCTGATGAAATCAAGGTGAGAGCATTATTTTCTACCTTATGATTCAGAATCCTGGCACCTTGATACACTAATATTTCTTAAACTTTAAATCATATTTTAAAAATAAATTTTATAAAAAGTATTTAATGTTTTTCTCAAGTTGATTTTGAATAATTTAAACATTTCCCCTCACTTTTCTATCAGAGACAGAAAAAATCAATGTAGAACTCTTGAGACCTGCTCACCTTCATTTCCTTATTTCTTAATGAACTGAGAACATCTACCTGTCTTTTGCTGGGGCTCCTGCATCAGATGCCTTTTATAACTGAATGGGAAGTGGGAGAGAAGCCTAGGTGAAATAAATCAGATTGTGGAGGAAAGAAAAATAAAAGGCATTTTCCAACTCCAAAGAGCGGAACACAAACCGCTCATTCTCCCAGGAGTTAAAGCAGCAAAACATAAACACATCTCAAAGCAAGAAAACGTGGCAGTGGCCTTGAAGCAATGCATTCCAGCAGCAAAGCCCGCCCTTCACCGTACCACGTCACTGAACCAGCCGATACACGGGGTCACCAACTTTCAGGCTGCCAATTTTCTCCACTGAATAATAGATCCCAAAAAGTGGGGACGACTTGTATACTGCCTTCTCGGAAGGATCACACAGGCGGTAGCTGAAATAAGCAAAAATTCATCATCAGGCACAAACGGGAAATAAGAACTTAAGGGCTCTCAAGAGAATTCAAGTTTTCATTCTCAGATGACCTATCATAAATAGCAAGCCTCTTCTACAACGTGGAGAGAGAAATCTGTGCGCAAGTAGGCAAACTATACATAATCCTGGTTTTTCTAGGAGCATCCTGAGAGTCTGAACAATTTTCCATGGCTTCAGTTTGAAAAAACTGTGTTACTCAAAAAATAAAAATAAATAAAAACTTAAAAAATAACAAAAATAAGTGGTATGTTAAAAAAATAGTAAGTGGTATATGTTTGCATGTATACCTCTAACTTCACAACTCCCTGAAACAAATGCTCATACAATCTCAAAATGGAACTGCCTGAACTCACCAAGTTCTTTTTTTTTAATCAATTAATTTATTTATCTGAGAGACAGGCTGAGCGCAGAGCCTATGCAGGACTCAATCCCAGGATGCTGAGATCATGACCTGAGCTGAAATCGAGTCATATGCTTCACCCATTAAACCACCCAGGCGCCCCTCCAAACCTTCTGTCCAATGCATGTAAGTAATACGCTTCCCCCCTCCCCTCGGTTTACAAGCCCAAAGCTGAGGCTCTTGATGAACAAAAATGAAGATAGAGATGCAGCTGGCATGGGGCTGAACTACTGATGAAGTTAATGTTTTTCAAAAGGCCTGTCTAAAGAGAAAAAAATTAACTTCACTGCATCTCAAAAATCAAAAAACAAAACATATTTGCATATCCGAAGGTTATCAAGAAATAACCTCTTCTCTAAAACTCAAAAGGATTGGAAACAAATAGCAAAACAGAGAAAAAGAAAATAAAATAGAATATATCTCCCAAAAATGTTGACTTAGTTTTAAAAACACATTCTCTATTGATAACTAAAGTCAGCTAGCAACAAAACAAAACACCTGGGCCCAAAGGAAGCTCCCAAACAAATAAACTCTTGACAACTGGCTACATTTCCATTTTTCTAATATTTCATTATGCAACTTCAATTAGTCTCATAATCCTTGATGTTGAGTCTAATAAAGAAATCTGAGGTGCAATAATAATTACAGTATTTGAGGTCTTAATTTGGACATACACACATGAATGTTATTAAAAATTGATGTGAGAGATCTGAAAACTTCAAAACACAGTATTAGACAATGAAAAATCTGTCAAAAGCACTCGAAGATCCATCCTTAAAAAAAGAGGAAGCAACTTACCCACAGACACATGCCAACCAGAAGGCAGAGTGAAAGGTGCTCGGACGGGGCACCTACCCCCACAGGTAGCTCTGGGATGGGGATAGTATTAAAAACACCGTGGACACATTGCTGTTTACCTCTTCAGGGTTTCCAGTGGCTCCTTCCTGTCTATCACTCCAGTATCTGGGTCTACAGTGGTCAAAATGCACCTGCCATTCAAGAACCAATGATTAGGTGGTGGTTAGGGACCAATGAACACACCACCACCCCTCAGAGGTTGACTCTGAGAGAATCCTTACCTGGGGCAAGACAAAACCTTTTTCATTTCTACGTTGCCAATTAGGAGTTCATCCCAAGTATCCTAGGAGGAAAGGAAAAGTTATCTTTTGAATCAAGGCTTCATTAGTCTTGAAAGCAGGTTACTCTTTAGCTGGTCCTAACAATGAGGCTAGCAGAAGAAAGGACAGCCAGACCCCAAGAAGTATCTCTCAAAGGGACACAAAGGGAGACAGCATATGGGAGAGTCCAGGATCCATCCACCTCTTGAGTCACTGTCTCAGAAACCCGACTCTGTCAGCAAAGCGAGAACAGACCTTCTCTGCCGGGCAGTTTGCCGTACGAATCATACATTAACTACAAGGCCAATTTACTGATATATAATGAAAAATGTATAGCTTGCAAGACAAGCCCACTTTGTTCTTATACCTAAGCTACAATGGAAGCCAAGTTAAAATCTGATAGTTCTTTGATGAATGGGACATCACCCACAGGAAGTCAGGTAGGAGATTCACACATTCAACACTCCTACCTCCACGACTGGTAGCCTGCCCTGGCGGGGGGGCGGGGGGGGCTGGCATTCCACAGCTCCTGGCCGTGCTTTGGGTTCCCACCCTCAAACGGTGGGCACTGCCAACATCCACCTTGGGGCTTCAATAAAATCCTCTTTAGAAGGTACTATGACGATCCCTGTTTTGCACAAAGAAACCAAGACCTGGAGAGGTTACAAAATTTTCTCAGGGTCATAGCAGGTTTGAAAACTTCAGATTCTGAAGGCAGGACTTCTAACCACCCAGCTTTTAAATCTATCTCTGTCTCTATTTATCTGTCTACACACACATATATATAAACATACACACATATATGGAGATTATATAGATTACATTACATATGCCTAGATATACATATTCATACACCTACGCACACAGACATGCACACACATATATAAGGAGGGAGGGTATGTTATAGGACTCTCTTGCTAATAGGGAAGCCCTCTGTGGGATCTGCCTTTCCCAGGACAACCCCCATCCAGGCCTCAGGGGGAGAGGTGAGAGGTAGTGGGGGAGGGTCCTCACTCCAGGCTCCAGAAACCGACAACAGTACCTATAATCAGGTGCAATAAAAGTGTCCCTTGAAAAATTGTTTCCTGATCTCAACCCAAATGAGGTTTGGAGCGGGTCTAAGCGATTTGGTGAGAAGTCAGTCCGCAAGCGAGGAAATGAGCCATCTATTGACCCCCCCCCACCCCCAGGGACAGGAGAGGCCAGACAGAGCAGGGGACGGGGGGGGGGGGGGGGGGGGACGGGGGGGGGGGGAGCTAACACATAATGTTTTTCCTTCCACCTCTGATGACCTGCTCTCCCAGGGGTACACGAAGCCCCCAGGGCCTACAGGGGTGATTTAGCCAACACAGGAAAGATACTCCAGTCCCTAACTGGGTCTTCCCAGCTCACAAATCTCCTACGGAACAGGAGCACAACCGCGGTAAAGGTCTCTGTGGACGCGCTGGGTTCCCAACAACCATTTATGAAACCGCTGCTGTGTGGAAATAAAATCTGTGTTCCAAACCGGTTGTTGGACGGACTGTGTTGCCCCTGTAAAAGTCAAGGACCCCCATGTAACAAACGGAATTTCTATATCCCAGCCAGGACTTACTACAAGCCCTGTGCAAACGGCAAAAATATGCAGCACAACCAGAGCAGGTGGCTCAGCCGGCGGAATGGGACCTCCCCCGAGCGTGACCAGTAATAGGGATCCCGCAGGGGGAAGTGATGGGTCCCGTGCAGCCTTGGCCTGGGGGCGGTGGCAAAGGCTGGATGCATTTTGCCACACGAGGGCGCTGCGGACACAGGAATGCGAGCCCATCCGCGCCCCAGAGCTCTCCAACTACCCGCCTTTCAATGTCTGCACAAATGATCATGAATTTCACATTTCAAAGCCACAGATCTGCGGAAACTCTGCCTTGTGACTGTGGCATGAAGCAGGAAAGTCTGAAAAGTTCGATTAGGTGTCCTAGCTCAATAAAACAGAGGTAATCTGCTCTTCCGCTCTCAGGGAACGGCAGTACCGTTTAGAGTAACAAATTGTCTGCATTCATAGAAACTGTCTGAAGCTCCCCAAACTGCAGCTCTAACAACCTCCAAAAGTATTAATCACTTTATATAATAACGTCACTCACCCTAATCTGATCACAGTTGGCATTTTGGCGCAGAGCGTTATTTGCAGTAAAAAACACTATGAGAATTAAGTTTAAATGTAATTATTAATTCAGTTATTAGAGGAAGATAATAAAATACCTTAAGTTATTAAAAATTCATTTTAATTAAAAATGCATGAAATTCAATTTTCCATTAGGTTCCACCGGACACACGCAAGGTTCCAGTGCCTTCCCTAAACACAGAAAACAGCTAGAAGAGCTGACTGCTCCCCCTGATGCCGAGCAACCTCTCTGCAGTCTGGCAAAATCCAGGCCCCTAAGACATTTATTTACGGTGAAGGGGTAAAGCCAGGGAGTTTTTGAGGGGCAAGAAGAAAGGAAAGGAAGAAAGAAAGGCAGTGAGAAAGGAGGGATCACGGTACACAATGGGCTCAGTTCCGTGGAATCACCCTAAGAAATTACTATGAATTTGCCATTTACATTGGCAAACACTACATTAAGATTACATGGTTTCCCATGACAAGTAGTATCCAAAGAAAGACATAAATTAAGGGTCTGGAAAAAATAATTAACTAATTAATTAATTAAGAGTCTGGGGCAATTATTGTAGAGCACACAGAATAGTGCAGATGAGGGTGTTTGCTTCTTTGAGACCTTCACTAGAGTCCAGACAGGCACCTGCCAAGCAATAAATTAAATGTATGACAGGAGATTCTACCCTCTCAAGTCTCTCTCTCCCCCTCCCTTTCCCTCTCTCTCTGTATACACACACACACACACACACACCACACATATAGTCTGTACACATATATTTAAAGAGAGAGAATAGAATATATCTATTCCATCTTTGTATATATATTCTATATATGTTGTATATGTGTGCATACATATATTTCATATTATACATATTATATACATATAATAATATATACACAAACATGGTGGGAGGGCACCAGGTGAGAAGGGAGGCCAAGGTACGCTCCTGAATGCCCATGCACCACAGATGGACAAGAAGACATCTGAGCGTAAGACAGCAGGCAAAACCAGGAGCTCTCTGCTGTTGCCATGGGCTATCAAAGGAATTATCCTGAAGAACACAGACTGGATCAGCAGTCCTACCCTACCAACAGCTACAGAGCTTCTGGGCACCTGCACCTTGGGCCAGGGTCTCCTGCCATCCTTGGAGTCCTTCGACGTCCTGAACCTCAGTCCCAAGATCCGTGCCTCCCCGTACCCTGCTCTGGATTCTCTAATTGCTACTCCTAAGTTTAATAGATTATGTGACACATTCAGTGATTATTTAAGCCATGTTGGGATAAACTGAGGGGATGAATAAGTAAATAAACAAGTTTGTTGTTTAGAAATCCTTGGTATCAAGGAGGCCACATGATTACCGTGGGCTTGGGAAGCCATGAACTATGGGCTGGCTAACTATATGTGGCCCATTTGGAGAGTGATTACTGTTTGGGCAGCAGAAAGGAGGATGTGAGTCTTTCCTTATCAACTGAATAATGTTCAAGATGTTGCTGAGTGAAGAAAACACACACACATATATATATATACACACTATATGGAGAATAAGTCTGTTTATATAAAAAAAAAAACAACCTGTACATACAGCTATGTGTATATATTTATAGCAATATATTTGGAAGGCTCCTCAAGTTTAAACAGTATTTTTATAAATTTTGTTTTATTTTTTGTTTTCCTTTTCTGTGTTTTTTTTTTTTTTATCAGAAGCATTATCATCCCGACAACACATTTTTAAAGTCATTTTGATCTAGGAAGTTTCTCAGATTCTTTCCAACACCAAACACATGGTGTGTTTCCAACACCAATTCTGCAATTCCCTGACACCAAGAGAGGTCCTGTGATTTCACCCCTTTCTGACCACCTGGAGTTACACACTCCCTATGTTGGGTTAAGGGCTCGGTCCCACAGACTTCCCCCCACCCCTCACTTCAGATGCCAAGTGTTCAGCTCTGCCGTACTTCTGGTCAACCAGCTATAAATCGAGGATTCCCAGGACCCCGCCCCCCCTCAGGTTAGATATTCTGCCAGGAGAGCTCACAGAACTCAGGAAAGTGCTTTACTATGACCAGTTCATTATAAAGGATATAACTCAGGAGCAGTCAGATGGAAGAAATTCGGGGAACAAGGTATGAGGGAAGGAGCACAGAGCTTCCAAGCCATGGTCCCAGCTCCCAGGACCTTGACTTCTTCACCAACCAGGCAGCACTCCAAAACCAGTCTTTTTAATTTTAAGGGTTTTTGTGGAGGTTTTATTACTTAGGCAGGATGATCACATCACTGTCTATTTGCAATTGAATTCAACCTCCAGCCCCTCTCCCCTCCCTGGAGGCCTGGGGGGGGGGGCTGAAAGTTCCAAATTTCCAGTCAAGGCTTGGTCTTACTGGTGACCTACTTCCAACCTGAAGCTACCTACCCCCCACCCCTACCACTCACCTCATTAGCATAACTCAGGTATGATTGATAGGAGTCTGTTAATAATAGAAAGTACTCCTATCACTCAGGAAATTCCAAGGGTTTTAGGGGCTGTAATAGGGGACAAGTGCCAAATATGTATTTCCCATTACACCACACAGTTCAACTATCTCAAAGCCAAAAATTGTTTTTCTGTTTTTAAGATATACAGGCAAAACACTATTCTTTAATCCCTATTCCAAAATTTAAATGCTCTCTGTTTCAACAAACCCTGTGGCATTCTTCCCACAAACACATACATACCCTGTGCTAAGCGTTCCTTTCTCTGGGCTCCCATGAGTGAGGTTACGTCTCTCAACCCTCCAGCTACTGAGCCCTCAAACCTGCTTCACCCTCAGGCCCTTGCAGGCAGACAGTGAATTCATTTCTGTAAGTTTAGCACCTATCTCAGAGATTAGGACCCAGCAAACTCTCAATAAACGTCTGTTGCAAGCATGAGTGTTCTAGAACCTTGGCCAGTATATAAACTTTCACTTTATACATTGAAATTAAGTTTCCTTAGCTGAAGTAAAACTCTGCCTCAAGGCCAAACTTCCTTCACAGACTGACTAACACAAGATTCCTTACACTAAGAATTACCAATTTACAGGAGACAGGACTTTTCACTTACTGGATTTAGTAAAGATGCTAGGCATCAGTGCTGGCCAAGGACCAGACAAAGGGCGCATTTCTGCTCAACTTGTGGGAACATAAATTGGCATGAGGTTTCTGCAAATCCATTTGGCAATATACATGAAAAGCCCACAAAATTCTGACTTTGCATTTCTTAAGAATAAGTTGAGAAATGCAGATAAAGACTGTTTTACAAAGCTGTTCATTATTTATGTAAGGGAAAACAGAAGACAGCCTACATGCTCAATTATAAGGGAATGGCTAAGTAAGTGACGGCAGAGTTCAAAGATGGACTAATATGGAACCACAAAAACTATGCTAACGAAGAATTTGTAAAGACAGAGCTGTGAGCCATCTACCATTAAGTGAAAATGGGGGAATTCAATACTACTTGTACAATATCACATAAATAATATTGGAAACACAATAAAATGTTATCATAGGCTACTTTTTGATGGTAGGATGGGGAAGGATTTTTATTCCTTCAAGTTTTTCTTTACACAAAGGAAGTGGTACTTTAAAAAATTACTTTTAGGGACGCCTGGGTGGCTCAGTTGGTTAAGCATCTGTCTTCCGCTCAGGTCAAGATCCCAGGGTCCTGGGATCGAGCCCCACATCAGGCTCCCTGCTCAGCGGGCAGTCTGCTTCTCCCTCTGCCTCTGCTGCTCCCCCTACTCATACTCTTTCTCTCTCTCTCTCTCTCTCAAATAAATAAAATCGTTAAAAAAAAAAAAAAAAAGATGGTCATAATGCCATATGGTGACAGATGGTGACTTCACTGAGCACGGAGGATGCCGAGGACTGCTGCAGCCCCAGGAGCCCACAGAACAAGTCTTCACCTTACTACATACCTTTTAGGTATATAACTCTGATACCTTTTATTCTAGTTTGCTTTTTTGTTTTTTGTTTCTGTTTTTGGTTTTTGTAGTGCTGGTCAGGACCCATAGAACTGAAATTCTAACCCAATAATGGGTTATGACCTGCAGTTTGGAAAGGTTAAGGAGAAAGATGAAGTCAGATCCTGCACCAAAATGCCTGGCACAGTGCCTGGGACATAATGCACATTTGACAACTGGGAGCTTTGGCTGTTACTGTTACTTTGTTATTGTTTTATATGCTGTCGTTGGCATTGCTTCTTCAGAAATCCCTGAAGCCCGGGCAGAGATGATGTTCTTATTCCAGGACAGAGACTTCTAATGTACGCATGTATGCTCCCAAGTAAAATCCAAACTCGACCCCACTCCGATTTGGGGGACTGAGAGTTTGGTCATAATGGTTTGCAAAACATTTCTTTCTCAACAGCTGCAAAGGATCGGACTGAGAGGACCCAGTGCACACAGCCAGTGAGGGGCCTGGGAGTCCAACCACAGCTGCCTGGCTTTAAGATCTACCCTCTCTAGAAGCTTCTTGAAGGATCACTTCCTGAGTGACAAATAACACACCCAAGGTTTTCTGCAAGCTTCTCCACAGTTCTTTCATACTGCAGAGTGAGAAATGATACAAACAAGATAGTCCAAAAAAAAAAAAAAAGTCAAGACAAAAAAGTCCTGCATACCAGGAAAGTGAGCAAAGTTCGGGAAACACCTGATCCCTGACTCCTGCAATGGCCAAGCACACAAACAAGAAGCATTGGTCAACTGTATTATTTTTAAACTCCACTGCTCTGCATTCCCCAAATGCACACACACTACACTGGCCCAAGGGAAGCCACCTTTAAAAACTTGCTTAACATTCTGAGTTACATGGAAAAAGTACCAAGTACTTTGGGTCATGAAGAGCAAATGTTGCACAATGCATTCTACTATTGCTCTATATTTTTGCAATAAAAAAAATGGCCAGACTCTGCACCATGCTTAGATATGCTATTTTTTTATTATTAGTTGGTCTACTAAATATTTACATACATTCACATTTTACATCAATATTTAATAGAGTCCCACTAATTGAAAAGGTTATAGTTGTACAACAGTGCCTGGTAGACAGGTTAATGCATCAGGCCCCTAACTATTGGCCTTCCTAATATCAGGGAGGATAAATTGATGCAACATCAGCATCATTTTATACAAAGGATTTTTTTTTTTTAAAGTATACAACCAGAGGACTTTTCTGGAAAAATAAGAGTATTCTGCCTTACTTATGTTACTATTTCAGTAAGCCCATCGTGATGCAGGAATTAAAACACAGAGCTCAAGATGACTGAACATTTTTTTAATTAAAAAACAAAACAAAACAAAAAAAGACTCCACCCACTCAAATTGCCTAAATGAACAATGCCAATGCCAATGCCTCACTAATGTGAGGTTTTAGCCTTAGGTTTACTTTGACAAGTTACAGGAGAGCAAAAACTCTTAGCTGGCAAGTTCCAAGAAAGCAAAAATTCTTTCGACAGGGATCTGGCTACGGAATAGCTTTTCTTCTTATTCCTCTTGGCTCAAAATCTTACTAAAATTAGGACCTTCAGTGGAGACAAATCAAGAAAAATTGTATTCCCTAAAAGAAAATTTCTCAGAAAATAGTGGAGCAATTACAGGATTCCTGTGAAGGTGTTTTTGCTTCATGGACTAATTTCTAATCCAAATCTCAGCCACTTGCATCAACAACATCGAGCACCGATTTTATTTGTGTTTAGCAAGCATCTAAGGATTCCATGCTTATGCACACCAGTAGACCACAGGGGTGGGGAGGGGCGGGGGGATGGGCAGGCTAGTCCCCTCTCTGGCACCTGAGCCCTTCTAGGCCCTGCACCTGCGTTATTGTCTTTTCTGAAGGAGGCCTCCCCACACTGTATTAAGTCCCACCAAATCTGGGATTTATTCCTGGGGAGAAAAATCAAGTCTCTTCCCTCAAGGTGCTGACTGCCCCAGAACGTCGGGGCCCCTTCCAGTGCTGCCTCCTCCATAGACACCGGCACACTGGGCTCAATTCCACGACCCCAAGGTCACGGCCTGAGCTGAAACCAAGAGTCTGATGCTTAACTGACTGAGCCACCCAGGTGCCTGTGCAAAGGTTTATTCTAAAGGACGACACTTATCAGCAAATAAGGGCACATTTTACTCACACAAAAGGAAAGGTGGCCACCCAGGGGAGCAAAGAATGGAGAGCTTCTCCCCTCAAGAGTTAGCTACTTGGGATTTCTAAATTGGAAGCATGCCCTCACCCCCTCAGGAGCCAGAGGTGCAAGTCTGAGGTTCTAATCCCAGAACTGCCAATCACATGTCCAACAAGTGCGTAAGGTCCCTCAGCTTCAATTTCCTTATCAAAAGGAGACGGTAACACAGACTTCATAGGGTTGTCATCGGGATCAAATAGAATAATTTGTATGAAGTAATACATTAGTTCTGTGTCTGGTGCCCAGTAAACATGCAATGAATGGATTTGCCTTGGTCACTTCCAGGCTCATAAAGTTTAGCCCACCACCAATGTTTAACAGGACTCTCGATGTTCTCTCAGCACAAAGCAACACCCAGTTGCGTATTTCTGTACAGATCGCAGGACAACTGGGTTTTGATGTGGGTGTCCTATTAGGGCTACAAAGGGCTGTGGCTGGAGAGGGTAGAAATTCCTGCCATCAGCCACACAGGAGAGCATGTGGGTCCTCTGGGACAGAACTCGGCCACAGCGTGGACCCTCCCGAGGGCCCTGTTCACAGGCAGATCTCCTGTATCCTCTCGGCCTCCGCTTTAGGGTCTGGGCCTTCCAGGAGTCTCAAATCCTTGAGCACTCCTGGCTGTTCTCTTCATCTTCATTTCCCTTTAGTTATCTCTGAGCCATAAGGATACATTCTTGTCTAGTTCCTGACTCGATCTAGTTTGGAGTTCTGACTGCTTGCTTTGGGGCCCACGCATGAACGGGTGAGTGGCGTCCTCCTGAGGCCAGGGTGACAGGGGTAGCAGTAAGTGGCCGGCTCTATCAGATTAAGGTGACGCTTGGGGGAGGAGAGTCTCCCTCACAGCTGACCATGGAGGGTCTGAGCTGGGGCTAGGTAAAGGGGACAACCATCCTGTGGGCATCTTGAACAGCACATCTGAGCTTCATGCACAAAAGCGGTGAACCTCTTACCTCCTCGAAAGCATCGCAGCCTGTCACCACGATATTGGGTCTGAACTGGTCCATTTTCACTTTCTTCTCCAGCCTGGTATTCAGATCCGCCAGGGAGGCTTCCGAGAGGATCATGATGGGGCAGCAGTCTGGGTAGGCCACCTGTGCCAGGGACATGGCACCCTCAGGCCTCCCTGCCCCGTGAAATGCCCTAGCCCAGCTGAAAGCGAAGCAAAGGCCAGAAGAGTTGTGCAGGGAGGGCCAGTGGTGTTCGGGGAGGGGAGGGGACACGGTGGTCTTGCATCCGGCCAAGTCAGGGCCGGGCCGGTTCCTGCCGCTGAGCCTCGCAGGGGCTCTCCCGCCACTCGGAAAAGACAGCAGCGAGGGCTGAGGGCCAACATCACTTTCTGGGACTCTCCCTGGGCCTCACTCCAGCGCCCAGCCCTGACCCCCTTCCCACAACATCATTGTCACACAGGGGAAGGACCTGATGCCAATCAGCTATGCTCTGGTCCCAATTTCTCCACATGGCACCCGTTCACTCTATGTATGAAGCACCTACTCTGTACCAGGCACTGTTCTAGGTGGGCAAAAGGCAGTGTGAAAATCCCTGCGTTCAAACAGCTTGTGGTTCAGGGAGGTGCTGGCATTTTAAACCCTAACTCGCTGCAGAATCGAAGGCTTTGCGCTGTAGCTGCCCCACAGGGCGGTCTTCCTGAGAAGGTGACTTTTTGGTGCCTGAAATAGCCAAATCAGCCTGATGGCCAAGGAAGCCCCAGGAGAAAGTCAGCTTCGGTAATTTTAAGAGCCTTGGTTCAGTCCCAAATGAACTTCTCACTTCCCAACGTGAGTGTCTCCTGAGTCCCCATCTCACTGGGGGTCACCCCGGGCCTCTCCCTCCACAGTCCAGACACGATCTATCCTCCACGCATGCTGGAGAGCCTGCTCCACTCCGAGCCACTTCCCTCTCCATCCCCAACACCTGCCCGGGACGTGCCCTCAAACCCCCTCACCTGGGCCGTTCCTACACTCTCCTAACTGGGGACCTCCTTTGTGGGTCAGGAAGGAAGTTGGAGACAGAGGGGTGATTGGCAGAAGTGAAGGGCAGCTCTCTGGAAGCACACCTGGTAATTCGGTACTGAAGTAGAGAAAATTTCCCTCGATGGTCTTCCCTTCATGTGCTTCTCAAACTGAACCAGCCTGAAAGCCTCTGTTTTCAAGAAGCTGGTGAACCACTGAGCTGCCTGGTCGCCACAGTCCCTGCCCTCGATGTCCATACCAAAGAGCCTGGAAGGGTCACAAGAGAGCGCCAAGTTACTGTCCTGCCTCAACACGCTGAGAGACGGGACAAAGACAGGACAGCTAGACCGCTGGGACCTGACTATCCCGGAGCGCCAGGAAGTGGTCTTCGGGCCAAGGGCCAAAGCCGGACAGAAACAGAAGGGAGGCAGTAGAACGTTCCAGGGAAGAGCTTCTCAACCCCTAACATGCCTGCAAATGCAGACTCTGCTTCAGAAGGTCTGGTTGGAGCCTGAGATTCTGCCTGCCTGACAAGCTCCAGGATGCCTAAGCTGCTGGTCTGCAGACCACACTTTGAGTAGCAAGGATTCACGATACTTTTCGAAGGGGACAGGGACTATGGTGTGGTCAACGCAGCCTAAGCTTGGAGTCTGGCAGAACTGGTTCAAACTGGAACTCCACCATTCTCTATAAAGACTGTGACCTTATACAAACCACTAAACTCCCCTGACCTTGTGTCTCCGGTTGTAAACTGGACAGTGTAGTATGGTAGCTACCCACAAGGTAGGCACAGAGTCAGTTAGATAACACAGCAGTCTTTCTGCTTGAATACCACTAAAAAAAATGTTTAAAAGCTATGTACCCCTCACAGAATGGCAAGTTGACATGTAAACTATTTTTATCATAAGTTTAATTTATTGTAAAAGATATAATTTCTATTGAATTATAAATATTAACATTTAAAATATAATTATAAAGTATATTATGTATGTTAATATACAAATATATAAAATTATACTTTTTTAAGTATGCAATGGAATCTAAATGCCATGGTGGTTTGACACCCACTCCTCTTCATTTCTTAAAATATATGGTTAAGGGGCACCTGCGTGGCTCAGTCGGTTAAGCGTCTGCCTTCAGCTCAGCTCATGATCCCGGGATCCTGGGATCGAGCCCCACATTGGGCTGCCTGCCCAGCAGGGAGTCTGCTTCTCCCTCTCCCTCTGTTCCTCCCCATGCTCATGCTCTCTCTCTCACTCTCTCAAATAAATAAAATCTTTTAAAAAGTAAATAAATAAAAATAAAATAAAATATATGGTTAAAAGGTGCCTGGATGGCTCAGTGGGTTAAGCATCTGACTTCAGCTCAGGTCATGATCTCAGGGTCCTGGGATCAAGGCCCACATCAGGCTCCCCGCTCATCAGGGTGTCTGCTTCTCCTTCTCCCTCTGCTCTTCCCCCCACTCATGGTCTCTCTCTCTCTCACTCAAATAAATAAATAAAATCTTTAGAAAATGAAAAAATAAAAATAAATAAAATATATGGTTACGGTTAAGGTCTACTTTAATAGCCCACACTTTTATGTCATTCCTCTTTTTATTCTCGAATACAGATGTACACGTTATTTCTCTTACATAATTTTATGGTTATTGATCAGTTTTTAACCAATTAAATTTTCTGTTTCTTAAGGCTCTAAAGGAGAAGAAATTTTTTCAGGACTGAGTTATCATGACAATTTTTATTTGTGTACAATGGGTCACAACAAAATGAGTTATAAATTTTGATAATTACTAAGCATAAAAAGTAAAATTTTGTTTAAAATTTAAGATACTTAAGACATAAAGCCTGGAATGGATTTTTTTTAAAGATTTATTGATTTATTTTGAGAGAGAGAGGGGGGCAGAGGGAGAGGGAGAGAAGCAAACTCCCGCTGAGCACAGAGCCCAATGCCACCCTGAGACCACGACCTGAGCGGAAACCAAGAGTCCCACACTTAACTGACTGAGCCCCCTAGGCGCCCCTTTGAATGGATTTTTACAAAGAAAATTCAGTTTTGCTGTAAAGTTCTCAAAGAATAAATATTAATCAAATCCTATACAGCAAAGCTTTTCCTCTCCCTGCGCAAAGGCATTAAGAGCGAACACTGGGAGGCAGGAGGGTTCAAATCCCAGCTCGGCCTTGCATGACATGATACGAGTCCTGTTTTCCTGGTGTGAAGTAGAATTAATGATATCCACCTCATGAGCTTGAGGAGATAATTAGCTAAAATATTATATTCGATGAATTATTATTTCAGGCTTTTGAAATTTCAGAACCTTGAATGACGGATTTCAGCTCAGACACTCTGCTTGAAAAAGCATGCAATCAGGACACAGGGAACAATCTGTGGCCTTCCTCTGAGCCTTGGGACCAGCGGACAACTCCAATCTCCACAAGCTGAGAATGCTCAGGTGTTACAGAGGGATCCAGAGCACCCCAAGACAGGTACCCAGGCCTCTAGGACTTCCCCATAGCACAGGACAAGACCCCCAGGGAGCCATAGAATTTGACGGCCCTGCAGGGGTCCTACAGACTGAAAGGAAGCCCAGGACTGAGGCATATCCAGGCCAGAGGTGGGAATCTCCTAAATCTGCCTTGGGCCAGAGACCTGAGAGGCTGCAGTCACCTTGAAAAGTTCTAGGGCCTTCTCACACAACCCTGAGATATGGCTGGTAGTCTCCACTAACTGCCTTGTCTGCCTGGCTTGGGGGGCTGGCAATGCTGAATAGAAGTCCATCCAACTTGAATAAACAGAGACAAACTAAAGATTGGCCCTTGGCACCCCCTCTCTCTATAGGTATTAATCATGCTTTTGCGTTTCCTGTATTCTTGATGCTTTGGCATCCTGGGGCCTTGCTGATGTGGAAGGAACTGCCCCTCCCAGGGCTAATCAATTCCTACAGGTAGGAAACCACACACCTTTAGACAGCACGACAACCAGTCCAGAGCCCCCACCCTCCGCCACCTCCTCTCTGGGCTCTGTCATGCCAGGCCACTGTCCCCGGCCCTAATCGCCCAGGGCCAGGTACCAGGCACCCAGAGACAGCCTCTATGCCCCAGAGCCCACTGAAATTACTCAAACTAGCCAACCCTGAAGCTGTTTAACCGCCCTGCCTGGGACTTCCTGTGGAAACCACAATAAAGGCTCTTGTAGGGGCACCTGGGTGGTTCAGTCAGTTAAGCATTTGCCTTCGGCTCAGGTCATTATCTTGGGGTCCTGGGATTGAGCCTCCATCGGGCTTCCTGCTCAACTCAGCAGGGAGTCTGCTTCTCCCTTTCCCTCTGCCCCTCCCTCACTGCTCATGTGCACGGTCTCTCTCTCTCTAATAAAATCTTTAAAAAAAAAAGGCTCTCGTTCCCCCCTCCACGTCTCCCCAACCCCGCACCCCACCCCAGCCCACCCCTGCTGCTCCTCTGTGTGGCCCCACATGACACGCCAAGCCTCCTGTTCCCAGGGACCCGTGAATATAGAAAACGTCCGTCTTTCTTCATCACGGTCATTTGCCCCTCTGCATGCCTTAACCATACCTGAGTAAAACAAATCCCAGGGACCCTTAAAACAGTACTCTGCCTCACCCACTCACCCCCCACCACTGGATCGATCCCAGCCCTGGCCAGACTTCTCTGAATTACTTCCTTTACCAAACACATCACCTACTATACACACTGGAGCAAGACAGGTGCAGGGAGAAGCCTACAGGAAAATCACGTCAGGTCCCCAGGGGCCCCAAGCAGAGCACCTGCAATCACGGAGCTTGTTTGAGAAAGGCAGCTTGCTCGGCAAAGCCAGCTGGCCCATGCCCGGAGCCCTGAGGATCAGGCGGTCACCCTCACAGGTGATGGACACCAGCACCAGGCGAGGCTCCTGCCGGGCGGTGACCATGTGTCCATCTTCCTTAATCACCAGCCAAAACCTGCCGAGGAACAAACACGAACATGCTCAGAAAAGCCTCTTCCACCCTCTCAAAGGCTTCCCTCTAGCTTCCTATTTCATCAGACCCTCTCCTCTGCCCAGACTCGGGATCCAACAATATTTTTCTAGACAATTACCTCGATCTGGTCAAATTCTTCAGATCCAAAAGTTGGTGCCCCTAAAAGCAGCTTCTTTGGAAGAAACAGCCCTCGGAGAAAACATCTGGCCAATGTATGAAAATCCCCAGTTCCGAAAATGCAGAAAATGAGGCTGGCTTAAAGGACCTTCCCTCGCTGCTTAGGGAATCCTGATGCTTAGTGTGCGGCTTTGTTGCGGTCAGAAATTTCCCCGCGCCTGTTAAACCCACAGCAAAACGTCTTCCAGGTCTTTTTGCTGTGGAACAAGATGGGGCCCGAACTCCCGGCCCAAGTGCACTAGAACCCTGGACGGGGTCTTGTGATGTTCGGGAGGCCGGAGGATGCGAACAGGCCTCCACTCCATCTAACCTGCTGTGGCTCGCAGGTCTGACATCAGGAGACCCCGACACAGCCTCCCCTCTTCGTGCGCATGCTCTGACTCAGAGAACGAAGATGCCCACACACCATGAGTTAGATCAGAACTCCGCTTATTTCTAGAGAGCCCGCTGTTCCAGGCTGGGCTGTCACGCTGCATCCTATCCCGAGGGGGGAAGGGCTGAGCTTTCCCGGGAAGGGGAAGGAGCCTGGCCGGGGTAGGTCGGTTACGCTTTTATCTACAGCGGAGCGTAGCATGATTTGACGACTAAAAGGTATTTAAAAAGCGCTGTTCCCCCTGGAGAAAGTAAGTTTCGATGCCACCATCTGAGACAGGACACGAGCAGCGCGTGACAAAGCCTGCAGGCATTGGCTTACGAGAAGCTGCCGAAAGCCCGGGCTTCCCAAACGGGAGCAGGATGGAAGGGACCGACCGCAGGCCCTTCCTGAAGGAGGGGCGCCTCCTCTAGGGGAGAAGTTGCCAACTACGACTGGAACCAGGTGGGAACGCCTGCCCTAAGCTGATGAGGCTGTCTGATTCCAGAGGACAGGCAGCTCTGTCTCGGCCTTCACCATACCCTGGGAGGTGTCCCGTCCCTGCCACCGGGCCCGCTAACCCGTAGGTGTGTTGGTGTCAGGGGACAGCGGTGCAGGTATGGCAGTACAAAGGCACCTCGGGCATCGTCTTGGTTTTTCCCACCCCAGGGCTGGTGATGCTGGGCAGTGGCAGGCCCCCATCTCTCTGAGAAGCCACCTTTGCCTCCCAGGGTTGTCTGGCCTGCTCGCCTACGGGGTTCTGTGACCAAGGGCATTCCTGTAACTTTGTTACTGCCCCATTCCCTCGGGGCTGGGCCCTGTTCCTATTTTCAGCCTCATCCCTGGGTACAGAGTTCCGGATGACCCTGCTCTGCTTCATCCTCCCAAAGCCTGCACCCTACACTTCCAAAATGCCCTAGTACCCAACGGGACTCCCTCAGAGATCTGCACCCAGCCAGACACATGTCCCAAAAGGAATCTGCATGTTATTTCTGACCTTGAGTCCCTCCCTGGGCTGAGTCTCCTTGTCCCCATCCACCTCCACCTCAGCCCTTCACTGGGGCTTACACGCCCTGCCCTGAGCTCCAGTCTGCTGTTTAATAGCATAGGGGTTAACCCCTGGGCCTTAACAGCGAGAAGGGGAGGGGGGCTGGACGTTTTGTGCTAGCTGCTACAAGTGGAAAGTCAAGTGGCAGCTTGCAGGTGGTCTAACACTGGGATAGGACAGAGACACCAATAAAAGATAAAAAGTTGCTGCCTATAACAGACCCCGACCACTCTCATTACCTTGCCCAGTGGGGTCATGGCATTTGTCATCTCTTGCATACAAATGATGCCCAGTGAATGAATAATTACCTCTGTTCTGCCAGATCTGAAAGAAAGTCAGTCTGGAGTGTGGATTTTTCACGACCAAGTTGTCCCCAAACTTTCTTTTACCCCTAAAGCAGGAGTGTGCGGTGTGAGAATCAGTGCAGAGGCCAGGGCTCAGGTCCTCCAAAAGAAAAACAGTGCTCCGAGTGATCACGGGGGTGGGGGGGGCTCTCACGGGGGTGGGGGAGCAGAGCCCAGGACGGCTGGAAAACCTCATGTTTAAACTCAGAAATTGGTCTGGGAAGCAGAAGTGCTGGAGCCTGAAAAGGGGAGAGGGGAGCAGGGAGCCTGCCACAGACAGCCAGAGGGTAATGTGCTCAGGATGATAAACTTAGAGAACTCATTTCTCCAGGAGATCATAGTCGGTGCAGAAAACATCAAGGGCTGCCTTTGGAAGGGCTAGGGCAGATTTAGGACCCATGGAGTCAAATATAGACCCACTAAGAAGAGCAGGATTTACAGGGTCAAGGAGGGCAGCCAACCCTCCCACCTTCTGTGCCAATCAGGCGATGCAGCATTCTGCTAGGAGGACTCTGAACCAGCTCAAAGTCCAGGGTGCCCAAGCCAAACATTCACAAATTTGTTAAGAGCTTTAGACAAAATAGTTCTAGAAATCTGAGGACAGAGCCCTTATGAAGAAAGAGCCCAGCTTCTTAGAATGGTTCCAAAGAATGGTTCGACATGGAGTTAAATCCAAGGGGCCTTTTCCTGCATTCCAGGCTGTTTGTAGTTTCATTATTAAGTTGAGAGAATAGCAGTCATTTAGCACAGTTCTTTCTAGCTTGCTTCCGAGTTTCAATTATCCTTTAATAAATAAGACCTAGATGAAATAGGGTCTCTGAGATCATCAAGTCCAAGCCCTTTCTTTTGTAAATGAAAAAAAATGAGGCTCAAAGTTTAGATGACTGTGCGTGGGTCTCCTGATCCTCCGTGCAGTCCTCACTCTTCTAAATCACCCTGGCTTCACAAAAAGTGCATGACTGCTGTACCCACAGAGATCTGAGTTCACACCCCTCCAGCACATAACTGCTTTGGGTGAGACACTCACCCTTTCTGATCCTGCTGTTTTTTACTTGCAGAGTGGAGATAACATCTAGCCCACAGGACGGTGCTGAGGCCTGTGTAAGGTCATCCATGTGACAGGATTCCGCTCAGTGCCCGAGGCACATGAGGCACCGAATCCGTGTTCATCCCCCTGCCTTGCTCGGCCTCCTCCCAATCTCCATGCCCCACCACCCCATCCCAAGCATTTAAGTGTTCAAAACAAGGGTTAGTGGATACAGTTCCATTTATTTTAAGATACCCATGGAAGCAGAAAAGCAAAGGACAAATCCTTTCTTTCCACAAAAGCAATAATCACAGCAAAGTAGTGACAATGAGAAGTGGAAAAATAGTCATTCAGATGATCAGAAGAGACACAGATAAGAACTGGAAATCTTGGGCGCCTGGGTGGCTCAGTTGGTTAAGCGACTGCCTTCGGCTCAGGTCATGATCCTGGAGTCCTGGGATCAAGTCCCACATCGGGCTCCCTGCTCAGCAGGGAGTCTGCTTCCCCTCTGACCCTCTTCCCTCTCATGCTCTCTATCTCTCATTCTCTCAAATAAAAAAAATAAAATCTTTAAAAAAAAAAACTGGAAATCTCTCTGAGAAATAACTTCAATCCTTCAAGTGGGGAAGGAAGTAGCACAAGGTAACTTTCTCTAGATGTGCACCATGAGAATTTGGTTCTCCCGGTTTTTGCAGGGTGTCCAGTACCCCTGTGCCTAAAGTTTTCCCAGCAGTAGGAAGACTTTTCTAATCCTTCATACTTGAATAAGCTCTAAACATGCTCTTCTCATTCTTAATGGCCCCAGATACCACCCTTTAATTATAGCAACAGACTCACCTGGGGAGATTTTAATACTACACAAGGTGGCTTCACTCTGGGTGATTCTGATTCCATAGGTCTGGGATGGGACTCTCAGGAAATTCAAGTTTTAAAAATCAGTGGCTCATTAAATGTTACAGTTCCTCTGGTCACTCACTCCTCTCCTGAAATAAGTCATTCAGAGGAAGACACATTCCACATGATTTCACTCATAGGTGGGATTTAAGAAACAAAACAAAGGAGCAAAGGGAAAAAGAAACAGACAAATCAAGAAAGACTTTTTTTTAAGAATTTATTTATTCATTTGACAGAGAGAGAGAGAGAGAGAGCAAGGGAAGGCGGAGTGGCAGGCAGAGGGAGAGGGAGAAGCAGACTCCCCACAGAGCAGGGGGAGCCCGATGCGGGGCTGGATCCCAGGACCCTGGGATCATGACCTGAGCCGAAGGCAGATACCTAACCAACTGAGCCACCCGGGCATCCCAAGAAACAATGACTTTTTTTTTTTTAATTTTATAGCTTTATTTTTTACATTTAGGCTTTTAATCCATCTGAAGTTTTGAAAGAGATCTAACTTAATATTTTAAGAAATGGGTAACATATCACTATACACCCTTTTTTTAAAGACATCTAATTTGAAATGACATCTTAATTTTCTATATACATAATGTCTGTTTTCTAAATTCTTTTTTTCCCTAAAAATCCTAATATTTTTTCCTATTTATTCTTTGATGTAGTGTTCCGTGATTCATTGTTTGTATATAACACCCAGTGCTCCATTCAATACGTGCCCTCCTTAATACCCATCACCAGGCTAGCCTATCCCCCCACCTCCCTCCCCTCTAGAACCCTCAGTTTGTTTCTCAGAAACAATGACTCGTAACTATAGAGAACTGACAGTCACCAGAGGGGAGGGTGTGGGGGGATGGGTTAAACAGGTGATCGGGATTAAGGAGGGCACTTGTCATGATGAGCACCGGGTGTTGTATGGAAGTGCTGAATCACTGTATTGTAAGCCTGAAACTAATACTGCACTGTATGTTAACTAACTGGAATTTAAATAAAAACTTTAAAAAAAGTTCTGTTGATAAGTTGTGTACCCCTGATATGATACAAGAAGAATGGAACTTTACTTCTGTGCTCTTCTTCCTAAAAACCCATAATCCCTGTCAACCATAAGGAAGACATCAGACAAACCCAAACTGAAGGACACTTTACAAAATGTCTACTCAGGATTCCTCAAAACTCTCAAGATCATCAAAAAACAATACAAGCTTGAGAAAGCATTATAGTCTAGAGAAGCCCAAGGAGTCACAACATCCAAATATAATTACAAATGTATCCTGGTTAGGGTCTTAGGATAGAAAAAGGACATTAGGGGAAAACCAAGAAAATCTGAATAAAGTATAGATTTAAATAAATAAATACATACATACATACATACATAAATAACTAATAAAAACCTCTCTGGGATTAGGGGCGCCTGGCTGGCTCAATTGGTAGAGCATGTGACCTTGATGTCAGGGTCCTGAGTTCTAGCCCCACGTTGGGGGCAGAGATTACTAAAAGCAAAAACAAAACACAAAAATCCGTCCAGGATTAGATATCTGGAGCGGAGGATGGAAAATGCCCAAGAGTTACATGGTCTGCATACACAACATTTCTCTAAAACAAATTGAAGTTGGGCGCCTGGGTGGCTCAGATGGTTAAGCATCTGCCTTCGGCTCAGGTCATGATCCCGAGGTCCTGGGATCGAGCCCCGCATCGGGCTCCCTGCTCCTTGGGAGCCTGCTTCTCCCTCTGCTTCTCTCTCTCTCTCTCTCTCTCTCTCCCCCCCTCTCCCCCCCCCACGACTATAAAAAATCTTTAAAAAAAATAAAAAATAAAAAAATAAAAATAAAAAAAATAAAACAAATTGAAGTTTTTCAAAGCTGTGAGAGTCCACATTTTTTAAAGAAGACAGCTGAGAAGAGTGAATACATGTGTCCTGGAGTAACTCGGGGCAGCAGATAGTCTCTGCTAGAAGATTCTTTGAATGACCACCTGGCAAACGTCCCCTCCCTCTGAATACAAAGAACCACAACAAAACCACCCCAGACAGATAGGAAGGCATCTTAACCCTAACGAACCAAAGAAGGGGATTCTGTTCTTCCTTGTTCACTCTTTCTAGAATGTTGCATTCTTCACCATCAAGTGAGTCTTCCAGATATCCAGCTGCATAATTCTGTGTCCGTGAATATATGTCTGTAGCCTGACCTTTGGGATGAGTTAAATGACAGGACACCTTTTCTTTTCTGAGGGAGATGAATGGAATTTCCATATGCGGGGACTTATGTGGGTAGAGACTTTCCCCAGAATTCTTCATTAAGGACCACTCTGCTCCTGGGGAGAGGGGACACACTATTCTCTTAATGGCAAATATTACATTTGCAGTGCCCCAGATATCCCCTCTTCCCAACACAAAACTTCACCCTGCTCATTACTTATGAAAGTGGATCAAGTCTCCGCCCCCCTCACCCCGAGTCTCCTGGGCACCTGCTCCAGAACTGGAGAGAGACGTGGAAGGAGCAAACTCCAGCAAGACCAAAGCCAGTGTCCTCGAACGAGACTTGCTTTCAGCGTTGCCGCTCTCTGCCCACGTGTGCTCACAGCATTTTATTTTCTACTACTGTGCCGTAGACTAAGATAGAATCAGAAAGTTTAGAACTAGCAGGAGACTTGAAGATAACCAGGTCAGACCCCGTCCTTCTACAGAGGAGGAAAGTCTCATCTAGAGGTTTTAAGTAGGGTTTGCCCCTACCTAATTTTCCAAACCTGAACCAGACATGAACTGACCTTCCCAGCTAAAGGATCAAAGGCAAAGCATCCAACCAACAACCCAGGAAACGCAAGAGGCAAACCTCTAGATCCCTTCCCGCGAGCGGCCCCCGCCCCACCCCGTCCCGGGCAGGTCCTGCGCAGCCGCGGCCCGGCCCGGCCCTACCTGTCCCGCAGGTGGCCGCAGCGCAGCCCCAAGGCCGTGCACTCCGCCGCGCTCACCGGCACCCCCTTGCACGACTTGACCGGGTAGATCCAGAGCTGCGCCACGGTGCCCACCTGCTGGAGCCGCCGGCGCCGCCTGGAGCGCGCGCGGCGCCAGGCCACCGTCCCCAGCGCCACGGCGGCCAGTCCCAGCGCGGCCGCCCCGAGCCAGGCGGGCCGGGACGGCGCGGGGAGGCCGAGGCTGCGCAGAGCCGACGAGCCCGGGGCACCCATGGCCGAGCGGGCGGGGCGGGGGGCGCGGGCGGCGGGGGGCGCGGAGGCGCTTAAGGCTGGCGGCGCGCGGGAGGAGGCGCGGCGGCTCGGGGCGGGTCCTGCCCTCCCGGCGGCCCGAGCGCGGATGGCCCGCGGCCGCGCCGTAACCGGATGTGGGGCGGAGAGGGCCCGGGCCAGCCCTCCCCTCACCGCCCGCTTTCTCCGGGTTGGTAGCCGGCCCCGCGCTAGCGCCCTCCTCCTGCGCCGCCACCGTCCCGGACGCGGCCCCCCGGCTGCCGGATCGCGCGCTCCGAGCCGAACCGGAAAGCGGCTCCTGGGCGGCAGGACGGTAGGCGTTACAACGTGTAGGAACTACTTGCCCTGGCCGATCTCTCTGAGACTTGCAGCATTTGGGGCCCATAAGCCGCTCGGTGGAAACGTCTGCACTGAGAGAAGAGCCGAGGCCAGCGTGGCTTCTGGCCGGGTGCCCGGGATGACCCCAGCCCCGTCCCCTATCCCCCCCCCTCCCCCCCCCCCCCCCCACACACACACCTCCAGTAAAACGCCTGCCTGGGAGAGCTCGCTGCTGCCGGACACTGCACGGCTTGCTCTGGCCACCATCTGGGGATGGAGCCCTGACCTCCCCCTAGAGCACGCTCTCAGAAGGGCTCACAGAGGAATCCTTCCTCTGGCCCTCTGAGATGTGTACATATCTTCTGCAACTCAGAATTGTCTTTCTCAAGGACCTGAGAGCCATTTCTTCGCAGAGGGACAGGGCTTGTGTCCCCTCTGCGGGAGGGCGGAATCCTAGCTTCAGTCATTGGCAGCCAGCAGGCGCCGCGGGCCTGACCACGTTCCTACCGACCAAGCTTTTGTCATTTTTCACTTGAGCTCCCCACCTGCACGCCATTGTCCCTTTAACGGGCCCAGTCACCTCTGCACAAATGGAACTGGAGCTCAGCTTTTTCCCCTAATTCACTAATTGCTGAATAAAATTTGTTTTCATTGCTTTAACTAATGTGCAGCTTTGTTCATCTTTACCAGCTCCATTCCCGCAGGTTCTTCAGTGAGCAGGGGATTTTCTTAGACAAGTTCAGGTTTGAGATGGTTTATTTCTCAAAAAAAACCGTTCCTTAAATTGGGGCACTGTTCTGGGAACGTTTAAGAAGGCAACCAGTGGGCCTCCTCCCAAATCTGAATCAGTCACCCTCTGGAGGGTGACCCTCCAGGGTGGGAAGAGCCTGGAGGAAGGAGCCAGAGAGGCAAGCTCCCTTCCACTAGCTCCTGTGAAAAGTGAAAGTCAAAACCCACCTGAAACCCCCCTTACCCCCAAAGAGCCCCTGCTTGAAAGCCCAGACCAGTGCAATTCGCCTCTTCAGTAACCACACATTCTCATCATGCTCAGCGGCCAAGACTTCAATTTCTTTTTCCAGCATGGTGTTGTGAATGAGGAGTGCACCTGATTCCTTTTCCTCCCCAGACTCTTGAAGAGGGTCAGAGCCCTCCATCCCCGCGAGCCAGCTGTCAGATAGAGGTTGTCTGTAAGTCCATCCTCCTTCCTAGATGGGAGCTCCCAGACAGGGAAAATGTTCCTTATTAAAATATTTGTTCCTTCAACACACATTTATTGATCATTCACCAGGCTTTGCCCTAGACTGGCTCTGGGCATTTAAAGTTTCAAAGAAGCTGCCCCGCCATCCAGGAGCTTAGGGAGATCTGGAGAATGACATTGGAGCAGAGGCATGGACAAGATGCAGTGGAAATAGAGATGGAAGAGCAGCTGTATCTCAGGACAGTGGTGTTCTCAGAGGAGGGAGCTTTTGAGCTGAGCCTGGAACACATGGAGGGTTGGGCGAGGGTGCAGAAAAGGGGATGCTGGGCCAGAGGAAGGCGCACACAACGCTCGGAGAAATGGAAGGGACGTGAGGATGTAGTGACCAGCAGCTGTTGAGCTTTATGAGCAGGTACCTGCCAATGCAGCAGGTGGAAGGAGTTGAGGCAGGACAGCTGGGCAGGGGCCAAATCAAGATGCTCCTTGTCTCAACTACATGTGGAGACACATCGGAATTCTAAACAGCAGGAGACATGGTCAGACTTGGGTGTTAGAAGGCGACACTGACCACTCCGAGAAGGGGTAACCCCAAAGGTGTGTCGATGAGAAGCAAACGCTGTGGTTTGGGCCGAAATCAGGGTAAATAACCAGTGGGGATGAGATGGGGATGCGGACAGGAGAGATAGTGGGGAGACCCTTAGCAAGAGGTGGTGACAGAACACTGAGATTGAGGGAGAGAAAGAGGGAAGGAGTCCATCATGACTCCCTGACATCCGGCCTGGCAGGGGACAGGGCCCTGGGTCAAAGGTAGGGGGCCCATTTTTTTTAATCTCTGAGATTAAAAAAAAATTCAAGGGAAGAAGCCGATCTGGGGAGAAAGATGATGAGCGAGCTCTGTTGTACACATTGATCTTGAGCCAAGATCAAGAGTCAGACGCTTAACTGATTGAGCCACCCAGGTGCCCCTAAGATTTTATTTTTAAGTATTCTCTACACCCAGTGTGGGCTCAAACTTATAACCCCGAGATCAAGAGTCACATGCTCTACTGACTGAGCCAGCCAGGTGCCCCCAAAAGAATAAAAAAAATGGAATGAAGCAGTACACTGATTGCTTGAGCTCAGCCAAGTGACCACCTGGCTGAAATTGCAAAATCATCAGTAGTAAGAATTAGCTGTTACATACCTTGAACCCTGTGGAATAGGGGAGAGGCTATCCCATTAACAGGATGTGCACTTGAAGTTCTTTATTGGCTTAATAGCTGGTAAAAGGGCTCCACCTGCTAGCCTGGGGATAACAACAATCTTCTGGGGTGTCCGTAGCTCCAGAGCCCCCTGTCTCAAGCAAAATATTTGTTCAACTTAAAATCTCATTCACCTGCAATAAGAGCTCCAAAACTCAGACTTACTCAATGTAATAACAGGAAGATTTAGAATTTACTCTAGACAAAATGCAGTAGTAGAAGTTATTATATTAGTGTTAAACATAGGAATAATCTTTGTACATTTGGTATCTCAAGTATTTGTAATACTTAAAGAGTTTAATATATTAGAGAATAGTGGGGAATATTAGAATGTGGAAAAGATTAGGGGAGGGGGTGGGGCAACAGCTGCAACAGGTGATGGGCATCGAGGAGGGCACTTGTGATGAGCACCAGGTGTTGTATGGACATGATGAATCACTAAATTCTACACTTGAAACTAATATTGCATATACTCACTGTATGTTAACTGACTGGAATTTAAATAAAAACTTGGAAAAAAAGAATATCTAAAAGATTAACCTTGAGGGTGCCTGGGTGGCTCAGTTGGTTAAGCGACTGCCTTCGGCTCAGGTCATGATCCTGGAGTCCCGGGATCGAGTCCCACATCGGGCTCCCTGCTCAGCAGGGAGTCTGCTTCTCCCTCTGACCCTCCACCCTCTCATGTGCTCTCTCTCTCTCTCTCATTCTCGCTCTCTCAAATAAATAAATAAAATACTAAAAAAAAAAAAACTATTAAAAAAAAAGATTAACCTTGAGATTCCAATTTAAGTTACATAATTGCTTACTTGATTTAGATTTTTTTGGTGACTAAATATTATAACTACAATATGGCCTCGGTTTGTAAACATATTGAGAACCTAAGAATTTCCATATTTAGACACTTCACTTATTAGATTATAAGAACTCTGGAAATACTTGGAAAGCTCTGTGAGTCAAACAATTGAAGTACTTAAAAAGAAAAGCATTAAATTTACGAATGCAATTCAAAAGTCTTTAAGGCCAAGCAGTAATCAAAGGCCTGTTTAAAAGTGTTTGTTCCAAAAAAAAGAATGATAAAAGAAGAATAATGAACTATGTAAAGTGAGTTTAAAAAGGAGATTTTTAGGGCGCCTAGCTGGCTCAGTGGGTGAAGCATGTGACTCAGGTTTTCTTTTAAGTTTTATTTATTCATTTTTACAGAGAGAGAGAGAGAGCGCGCGCGTGAGTGAGGAGGACAGAAGGAGAGACAGGACTGAGAGGGAACCTCCAGCAGACCCCCCGCCGAACACGGAGCTAACGGGGCGCGGGTTGCTGAGACCACACCTGAGCCTAAACCAAGCGTCTGACACTCAACTGACTGAGCCACCCAGGCGCTCCTGTGACTCTTGATCTTGGAGTTGTGTGTTCAAGCCCCACAATTGGCTTGAGATGACTTAAAAGAGATGACTTAAAAGTAAAAAATCTTGGGGAACCTGCGTGGCTTAGCTGGTTGAGTGTCTGCGTTTGGCTCGGGTCATGATCCCAGGGTCCTAGGATTGAACCCTGCATGGGGTTCCCTGCTCAGCGGGGAGCCTGCTTCTCCCTCTCTCTCTGCCCCTCCCCCCTACTTGGGCTCTCTGTGTCAAATAAAATCTTAAAAAAAAAAGTAGCCTCTTTTTAGGACCTTTGGGTGCTTGTTCAAAATATGTACATAGTGGTCTTTTGTGACACCCTAGAGTTACTCTATGTGAATTTGGTGTCAGTAAGAATCTAGTAATAATAATAATAACGGTAATGTTCATAATACCTTGCATTTTATAGGACTTCACAATTTACAGAATGATTTGGCATTCAGTGAGGTAGGGGCTGAAGTTTGAGAGAAAGCTGTGCGTTGCCCTGGGAAGGCTGGGGGAGTAACGAAGACGCTAGGCATAGTGGGGTGTCCATCTATAAAGCCCCCATTGAGAGGATCGATCAAGGCAAATTCACCATGGTTCAGAATCTGCCTTTTAGCCTTTTAAAGTAGAAAGTCTAGCTTTTCAGTGTCCGCAGGTTGACTGGACTCAAGGACACTAACCTCCGCTATTAAGATTCACAGGAGACTGATACTGAAAACATCCATGCTGTTTTACTCATTCACAGTAAGAAATACCGCCTCATGCCCACAAGCATGCACACCAGTGCGACCAATAGTGCCCAGTGAGGGTGGAACAGGGAGAAACTGCTCCCGGGGTAACTTGTGTGTGAGC